GCTGTAGAAGCAGATATAATAGAACGTTAAGAGGGCATCTTGACTAATACATGAATAGGCAGGGAATAGCGGGATACGGACCACACAGAAGCTAAAGGCTTTTGTTTACAGAGATGTCATGTATAGGCACAGTCTTGGTGGGCCAAAAGGCTGTACTGTTCTTTGCTCCTGTGTGCCCTCAGAAGATTTTCTTTTTCCTTTCCCTCCCATCATGTCTATGTGTAGTCCTGCAGTCCACAGGTGGGTTGGAATGAGCTTGCCTGTTAGTTGATCCTGTTGCTTTGGCATTTTGGGCAGACAATCTCTGGGCTGTTTATGGTTAGAGTGCTCACACGTCCTGAATGTGCTTGCCCAGATGCAGACTTATCCTCTTCAGCTTGAAATCTCACAAGATTGGGGACTGCAGATAGTGTAGAGGTGGAGGGGCCTCTCTGGAATGTCTTGAGAAGAGATTTCTGGGGGCTCTCTATATGGTTTCTCCACTAGCTGGGTGCCTACTGGCACTGTCCTGTCTCCTTGAGAGGAAGGGGCACCTGGAGTGGGATCAAAGTCCCTCGGCTCCCCTGTTGCAATGCTGTTGGCGCTGAGTACCATTGACTCAGTGATGGCATGCAAGTTTGTATGTACTTTCAGCATATACTGAGCGTGCTCGAACTGGTTCTTCATGGCAGGTGTCAACCTGTCCATGGAGACAGCCAGACGCTAGTAGGCCAGAGGCAGCATTGTACAGATTGCATTGGTGGACTCCTTCAACCTTTGAATCAGTTTCCAACAAGTCTGCCTGCTGCTCCTGTGTAGGTTTCTGCATTTGAATGATGTTCTTAATGGCCAACAACATGGAGTTCTCTGCTGCTCAGGCTGACCACGTCCCTGGTCTCTGGCAGTCTTCTGTGTATCTGTTACCTGGGATGCTTCTTCCTCAACCAGCTGTGTAGATAAGGCAGTAGTGTGCTTTCTAGAATGTGCTCCCAATTGTGTTCTGACTAAAGTACCAACCTGGGTGTCCATATCTGAACTGGAGGAGGGTCCATGAGGCATCTTTGCAGGTGCTTCCTCTGAAAGATCTGTGCCTTCTTCTTCATAGGTGGAGGACAGTATGATATTCTGAGTGGCTGGTTTCTTCACAGCGGTGACTGTGCAGCTGTCTGGAGCACATAAGAGAGGTAAAGTGCAGCACTTGGCAATAAACCTTACTTGTTTGCCAAGACATAAAGGTCTCAACATTACCACATGAAAGGTCACAGTCTTTTCTAACAAGGCCAATCTGTTTTTTCTCATAGCAAGTGAGGAGATGAATGTTGGGAACCCTGTCACCTATCGCTCCACAATATCATATGATGTTTTCTTGTGGAATGAGACAAAGGGAGGGACTGAATGAAATGAAAGGACTGGCACAGCTGCTCGCGCTGGTGCAGATGGGGAAAAGATGATGGACCATTCGAATTGAGTGACTATCCAGTGCAGAGATTACTAGTCTGGGGTTTGGGGAGTATGAGAGCAAGAACGGAAGATGCTGCATACAATTGTGAGAGTGGTAGACCGTAAGCCTTGGTGGGAGATGGATACAGTAGCAGAATTAGAAAGGGTGAGAGGTGACAGAGAGAAGATTGAGGCATTTACACTTATGGGGCGCAGAAAATCATTAACCTTTTTCTTGCACTTCTGCATATTCCTTGGCACTGTGGATATCACAATGACGCAGATGGCAACTTCAGGGTCTGATGCCACAATCTCCTCTGGTGGCCCTGAGGAGAAGGGACAGCCCTTCTCTCCACTGCCCTATCTACCAGGACACCCAAGTCTCTATCAGCAAATAGTGGTGCCAACCTCCACCTGTCAGCCATCTCTGGAGCAATTCTTCTCATACCATATAGGACAATTCCTGACTTCCAGCGGTTGATCTGATGTACAGCTGGGGTTTAAAAATGGTGCAAGTGAAGGGAATCCAGGAAGGTCCCAGCAATGGCAAGTATTTCTGCTGTTGGCAAATGCAAGCTAGTGCGAGTGTAGTGCCATAGAGGTGGGGTAATGTGGTGAACACTGTAAAATCTGGTGAGAAAACCTACTAGGACTCCCTAAAGCTCACAGAAACTGATACTTATATGATTTTTGATTAAATTGAACCCATATGCACAGATAGCAAAAAATAGAGTCCAGAAAGATAAAAGTTAAAAAAAAAAGATACATTAGAATTGTTTGAGAAGAGTGGATAGTTATATGCTTCAACCATTGCAGTGGGAGTTATCAGGACTATTGACATTCATAGTTGAACAATGAATTTCAAGTTCTTACTTTTGCAGGTTGGTTGAGATTTTGTTGTTCTGGTTCCTTTTAACCATGACTGAAGTCTAGAATTCAGGGTGAGAGACTCTTTGTTGTTGTTTTCTTTTTTCTGGCATGTAAGCTGTTAATATTCTGTGTAAGAATTTTTATCACTTGCAACACGGGGGTGACAAGGGGATACTTCTTTGACTGTGACCATCATAGCATGCCAATGTTTGAATGCAGGCTTGTATACATGGGTCTCTTAGCCTTATGGCACACATGAGAACATTTAGACCCACTAAAATGCTCCTGCAGAGTTGAAATTGGCTTTTTAACCTCTGTCCTTGTGTATTCTTCAAAGGGAGAAACACAAAATGTGCCTGTAGTTCAGGACATAATCCGCAATGGGAGGTTTGCTGTTGTGTAGGGGTCATCAGCTCCTTATTAACTTTGTAGTCATAAGAGATCATAATTCAGTCAGTTTGACTTATTGAAGGGTTGTTGTTTGAAGTTCCTTTCACGTCTTTAGGTATGACATTTCATGCGTCTCATCCTCTCTTTCTTGACAGCCACTTATTTACATCCACAACCATTTTTGGCTCTAAGAGCTCTCTTTTTGAAAAACATGTTTTGGAATTATCAGTTAAAAATGTCCACAATATTTTGGGTTTCTGACCCATGGCCAGAGGTTAATCCTAGATATCGATGGTTTATGAATTATGTTGTTAAAGATACATCAGTTATGGATATTTTACGATTAAGAACTGGATCACATACAAAGACAGACAGCTAGGGCACTGGGGTATTATCTAGAAGACAGGCTGCATTCTGTGAAGAAACCTACGATCAAGGAAAATAATTGGGTCTTGTTTTGTACTTCACCAGCTGGCTCAGATCAGGTTAATAATAAGTTCCTGATTGGATTTATTAGATACTATCTTATATTCATGATCTCTAGTTTTGCACGCCTCGCAAATGGAAACATTTTCTCCATTTCTATCTTTTCATAATCATGATTTGTTCATTACGAAAGGCCTATTTGAATATCCAAATACATCACATCTATTCCATTGCCCAAATCTACTTTTTCTATTACTTCAAATAACTCCAGAAGGTTGGTCAAACACATTGCCTTTTGAAATTTGTGTTGACTACCCTTTACTATAATCTGATTTGCTGATTTTTTAGTTACATCTTTGATGAAAGATTCCATTGTTAATTTTAATTCTCCATGTTCTGGAACTGATCATTGTGCCTCTTTTATGCTTTCTTTGGCTTCTTTAAATATGCATGGTTGAACTCATTTAAACTTGATTAGTTTATCCAATAACTTCCATATTTTCTATCTTAAATGTCTGCATATCTTCTTATTCCAATATATTCTAATCGATTTCTTTCCCCATCCTTTCTTCTCACAAAGAATGGTGCTTGATTGGCCAGAAAGTTACGTAATTTCTTCAGAACCTATTGTGAATACTCTTCTGAAGATGGCAACTAACTATTATTTTTTGCCCAGGAACAAGTGAATATTTGCGATGTATGTACTAATGTTAGTAGTGGTGTGAATTCTCCATCCCAAAACATTTGGATGATGTGCTGGGGTATGAGTGAAAGCCCCCTTTTACCAGAATGAGACATAATCTGATTACTTTGTAACTAACTTCATACCAATATACAGATCAGTGAACACAGTCATGATGTCTCTTAAGAAACATGTTTGATTCAAAGCATTTTCAATGTTTAATCATGTCACCAACTTTAATTTCAGTATCTATACATACTAACCCTCATACCTGCAAAAATGACAGATGAATTTGGAAGTCAAGCTTCTTTTGAAAATATTGTAATCAACTGAATAGAATTGAATAGTTCAGTGCAGAAATCGGCACACTTGAAAAGTTTAAAAATTGAAAACTGAACACAGCTCTTTCTGAACGATGTCACTTGTCACGTTGTCTGTCAGAAGAGGTTTGCTATCAACGTTTTAAAAGAAACATGTCAAATAATACACGTTGTGCCGGGAATCAGACATCATTATGGTATTAAAAACAAAGTTGCTGGAAGAGCTCAGCAGGTGTGGCAGCATCTGTGAAGGAAAAAAAGAGTTAACGTTTCGGGTCCGGTGACCCTTCCTCAGAACCCGAAACGTTAACTCTGTTTTCTCCATCACAGATGCTGCCAGACCTGCTGAGCTTTTCCAGCAACTTTGTTTTTGTTCCTAATTTACAGCATCCGCAGTTCTTTTGGTTTTTATTTATCATTATGGTGTTCACTGTGCTGTATATGTACTAGCATAAATAGTACTGCAAGAAGATTGTGTACCCTAATTTCTTATTTCAGGCTTTTTTTAAACACCTAAGACGTTAACTCTTGTTTCCTTCCCCACAGAAGCTGCCAGACCTGTCGAATATTTCCAGCACGTTCTGTTTTTATTTCCATTTTAATTTCGTATTTTCAGCATTTCGCTTTTGTGCCTTGATTGTGAAACGACTTTGTTTTTGTTTAAAACGTATTACATACGCATGGATGACCTGGATTTGTAATCCCGAAGCAGGGTGCACTTTTCGAAGACGACCCGATAACAAGAAGTACCAATGCCCAAGTCAACGACCTTTCCCTCAACTCGGCGTTGCACGGAGAGGGAGGAAAAGAGAGCGACCAATCACCTGGCACCGAAGATTCACCAATCAGAAGCCCGCAACTGACGGCTTACCCAATCGGGTGCCGCGATTGGCTGGTGTGCGTACTTCCCGTCGTCGGGGTCGGTTGCACTGTCTTTTTCCTGAGCGCGGTGAGTGTTGATGTCAGACACTTTCAGTCGATGTGAGGGGAGTCAGAGTGAACGGCGACAGGGAGGTGGAAGAGGCGGCGGTGTCGGGGAAAAAAAACGCGAAGGACGCAGAGAGAAAAGGAACGGTGATGGAAGTGAAGTATCTTGACGGAAATGAATGGAAGTACCACGGAGAAGGCAACCGGAGTCTGGTGGTTTCTCACGTCCAGGTTAGTCCGTTAACAACGCCGTTGGCCCGCGCTTCCTTGTCGAGGCCGCGGTGCAGGCTTTAACATTACAGAGCAATAAGAAAGCTGGCGGCGGCACGAAGTATCTTGGCGAGGGGGAATCTTCATTCACCCGCACAACTCGCATGTGACGCACCAAAGATTGTGGGTTTAATTTGCTGCCCACAAACTGGATGCCCTTATCTTTCTCCGGATTTCTTCGCCGCGTTTCTTTGATTAAAAGCAGCTTGGATCTTGCGTATGTTTTGGCGATTAATTCAAGATCCCGCGGGAGTTGCAAATCTTGACTTTTTTTTAAAAAAAGGCCGTATCGTAGGTCGATAATCTTTAATGTTAAATCTCTCTCCACTGCTCGACTTGCTGATCGTTTTCCCTTTACCTTTTCATTAGTTTCTGCTGTGCCAAGCAAATGTTGAATTACTGAAGTGGGGCATTTTGAAAAAGTGCGGGATGATGCATGCCAGTGTTTCTTTAAACCCGACCGTGTTCTCCAGAAGAAAATCAAAGCGCAATATTAAGTGGAAACTGATGATAATTCAATTTGACAGGGTTTTGGTGAATGATACTCTTTCTTGGGAGGGAAATAATGCAAAATTTATCTTCTTGTAAGCAGGTTGCTCTCAGTTCTTCGCTTGATTCGAATACACTAAACAATGGTGCTTTTGAGCGTTCTGACCTGGTTTGGTTTATTAATTATCATGCAAAGCTTGCTTGGGTAAACATTCTGGAATTTCTTTATGTAGCTTGCCACGTTCCTTCAAAGAAGGCGTACGTCACATTATGTTGCTTCACTGCACAGTTTTGGCGTATTACGTACAGTACTATGCTTATTCAATCTTACTATGCTTTCGAAAGCATACGCTTCAAAACAGGAGTGACAGTGTTGTGGAGTTGCTGTAATGGTGCCTGCTTTTATGATGGCGAGTGAGGCATGATGAAGTGGTTAGAAATCCCAACGCGCTCAAAGTTTCTATTTAGTACGTTCCCTTTTCATGGCAATAGCTGTTGTTAGGTTACTCAAACATTTGATTTTACAATGAAAACTTAATTTGTTCTGTCTTGCATTTCTATCCTATTTATCTTTTATAATTGTCAAGGAAATTGGTAGGTATGGCTGACATTTAAGGACAGTATACAGGAGACAATGACAAAGAAACAGGACATTCCAGCATGTAACTTGACAACAAATAGAAGCAACTGAGAACACAATAAGTTGAACTGTTTAGGAAACACAGGAATGTCTGATGTTAAAAGCAGTACTGAAAACTAAAAGGGTTTGGCCAAAAGTATTCTTAGAAAGTTAAGCAGTAGCCTAAGAAATATCAGGTCTGAAATGAAAATCAGTCTTCAAAATGTTATTTCTCATCAAGAATGAACTGTCAGCGTGAAACATTGGGGAAGTGCAAGAAAGGAAAGTTAGCGGTTAAATATGATGCTTAGGTTCCTCCTGTAAGGTTGAGCTGGGTGGAAAAAAGAACTAAAGAAGTAGTGAGGATGGAAGGAGAACAAAAAGTTCAGTTCTATTGACTTGTTAGCTATGCAGAAGAGTTGGTATGCTTAATCACCAATGAAAGAATGGCCTGATGAAGAGAAAGAGGCCAACAGTGGAGGAAATGGCTCAACTGCATTAAAGATTGGCTTAACCAGAACTCCTAACAATGAGGTGATCCAACACTGGGATTACTGAAAGTTTGTGAAATCTGGTTGCCTATGATACTTGGCATCGGCTCTTGGATGCTGGTGATCATGTGACCCTGTAAATACAAACATAGCATTAGGACTGGATCAGGGTTGATTATGATAGTAATATTATTCCTGTGAATGATCATTTGGACAAACACTGTAGGAAACCTGTGTCTGTGGAGCTAGCAAAGAATTGATGCTTTGAGAGGATGGGAGGTGAGAGAACTGATTCCGGATGAAGGATAGATGACAATTGCAGAGAAGCAACCGTTGTTAACTTTATTTCTGCATTACTTCTAGTCCAAACAACTGATATCAAAGCATTTCTAATCAATCACAAATTTTAGCCTTTTGTGACTTAATGTTCACCCCTGGTGTCATCCTTGCTCTTGTCCTATTCCTATATTTCATTAATTTAAATTTTTTTTTTGTTGTGACTGTTCATAAACTTTCTGTGACTTCTGTAAATGGACTCATGGAGTCATAGTGGTATACAGCATGGAAACAGACCCTTCAGTCCAACTAGTCCATCCTGATCAGATATCCTAAATAAATCTAGTCCACTTACCAACATTTGGCCCATATCCCTCTAAACCCTTCATATTGCTATACCCATCCAGATGCCTTTTAAATGTTGTAATTGTACCAGCCTTCGCCTGGCAGCTCATGCCATCCATGACTCCTAAATCTTTGTCGTGGTTCTCACTTTAATGATTTAGAAAATATCGTGATCTCGCTATCTTGATGTCCCATGGATGGCCTCAGTCTCTTTACTGCCACTCAAACTTGAATAATTTTTACTCCCTTGCTTAATGTCTTTTAAACATCTAGAACATAGAACTGTACAGCACAAGTACAGGCCCTTCAGCCTGCGATGTTGTGCTGGACATGATGCCAAATGAAACTAATCCCTTCTGTCTGCCATTGGTCCATATCCCTCCATTCCTTGCATTTCATGTGATTATGTAAAAGTTGCTTAAATGCCGTTATCGTATCTGCCTCCATCAACGCCCCGGCAGCGTGTTCCAGACTCCCATCACTCTGTTTTTAAAAAAAAAAAAGCCTGCTCCTCACATCTCCTTTCAACTTTCCCCTTCTAACCTTAAATGGATGCCCCCTTGTTTTAGACACTTCAACTCTGGGAAACATTTTCTAGACTTCTGTCAAGTTTCCCATCAACCTCTACTGCTCTGGAGAAAATAACCAGAGTTTTTCTAGCCTCACCGTATAGCTCCTATTCTCTAATCTAGGCAGCATCCTGGTAAACCTCTTCTGCACCCTCTCCAAAGGCTCCACATCCTCCTCGTAATGTGGTGTCCAGAATTTAAAGCAATATTCTAAGTGTGGCCTAACCAAAGCCTTATAAGGCTGCAACATGACATCCTGACTCTTGTACTTAGTTCCCCGACCAATAAATGCAAGCATGCCATACGCCTTCTTTACCACCCTCTCTACTTGTGTGGCCACTTGCAGGGAGCTACGGTCTTGAATCTCAAGATCCTTCTGAACATCAGTGCTGTTCAGAGTTCTGCAGTTGACTGTACACTTTTCCTTAACACTTGTTCTCCCAAAATATAGCACCTCACTTATCTGGATTAAACTCCATCTGCCATTTCTCTGCCTGTTTAGGGCACTGCAAATGATTTATACTTTGCTGTATCCTTTGACAACCTTCTACACTATCCACAACTCCACCTATCTTTGTATCGCCTGCAAATGTACTGACCCACCCATCTACATTTTCATCCCAGTACGGATCCCTGCACAGACCTCCAACCTGAAAAATGCCCTTCTACCACTACCCTTTATCTTCTATGGGCAAGCCAATTCTGAGCCCACACAACCAAGATCTCATGCATCTTAACCTTCTGGATGAGCCCCCCATGAGGGACCTTGTCAAGAGCTTTACAAAAATCCATGTAAACAACACCCACTGCTCTATCCTCATCGATCACCTTCATCACCTCCTCTAAAAATTCAATCAAGTTGGTAAGATATGATCTGCCCTGCATAAAGCCATGCTGACTGTCCCTAATTAGCCCATGCTTTTCCAAGTGCACGTAAATCCTATCCCTAGGAATTCTCTCCTATAGCTTCCCAACCACTGATGTCCCAACTCGCTGGTCTGTAGTTTCCTGGATTATCCCTATTTCCCCATTTCCCCTCTTGAATAGTGGAACAACATAAACTACTCACCAGCCCTCCGGGACGTCTCCAGTGGCTAGTGAGGATACAAAAGATCTTGGCCAAGGCCTCAGCATCTCCTCTCTCAATATCCTGGGGTACGTACCATCGGGCCCTGGCGACTTATTCACCTTAATGATGTTGTAGAGATCCAACAACACTTTTTTTTTTAATCTCAAAATACATATTAGTAAGCTCCACACAAATCTCACTATCTTCCATGTCTCTCTGCTTCCATTTGCACTATTTATGATCCCCCAAACCTTTTGTGATCAGCAAACTTTGATATAGTTTTGTTTTCCTTAGTCACTTATAAATACAGTGAAAATGATCAATGCCATTAGCTAGAGCTTGCCAAATGTTAAGTACAGTGGAAAAAAAGAGTAGCGACAATGGCTATGACAGCTTGCTTTGATTTTGTGTTTTTTTTAATGTTTTGTGGAAGTTCATAAATAGCATTTCATGGAGATAATTTGTCTACAACTTCAGTCATGACCTCTCAAACTTAAAACTTGTTCATTAGATATGACTTGCCTGATACAAATCCAAGATGACTGATCAGCTCGTGATTTGCCTGAGTGCGCTTTCAGTCTGTCTGTATGATTTTAGTAACTGTTGAAAAATAATTGTAAAACTAACAGGCCTATACTTTTGTAGTTTGTCATATACCCAGCATAAGTAATGTAATGACTGACTTAGACCATTTTCAAATTAGATGTCACACGACACTAGGTTATAGTCCAACAAGTTTATTTGAAATCGCAAGTTTTCGGAGCGCTGCTGCTTTGTGAGGTGAAGTGAAGGAAAGCACACAGGCACAGAATGTTTCTGTGGAGAGATGATTCATCAGGCGAATTCTTCCAGAAACCCCTAGATGTCAGCAGCAAGCTCAATGAGACAACCAACAAACCAGAACAGTTGACAGAGAAATCTGCAGTGCAGCAACCAAAGAAGAAAGTTGAATTGACCACTCTGGAAAGCTGCTCCTCTTGGCTCAACATATATGCACAAGCTGTCAGGAAATGCAAGGCCATTATATACTGTGCCCGTGTGTTTCCCTCCATTTCACCTGATGAAGGAGTAGTGTTTCGAAAGCTTATGATTTCAAATAAACC